AATTGACTCCGATCCGGTATTCCGCATCGTCGAGAGCATCGATTACACCCCAATCCTGCAGTGTGGGCCGGATTGTAGATGTAATCGAGACAACTGCACGCAACGAGTCCTCACCGATGTAATTACCCATTTTCTGAACAACTATTCTATCTTCCAGGATGGGCGCCCGATTCCTTTGATACTGTTCTACGAGGGGCGCAAGGGATACGGCATCCGCACTCCAGTCAGAATCCCAAAAGGCGCCTTTGTTGGGGAATATGTAGGCGAGGTAAGTTTTTATTTCGTATTGATATCTTTCCTAATTTCTATTTACCGATGACAAAATTTCAGGTGCTGACTGCAGAAGAAGCCGACGAACCCACGCGGGGCACAATTTACCAGCATTATCTAATGAAAGGCCATGCGGCTCTCGGAGAGGAACGACTGGTCGTTGACGCAATGCATTATGGTAATGCGATGAGGTAGGCCTAAAATGTCTAAAATGACATCGTGTTTCAGGTTTATCAATCACTCATGCGATCCGAACGTTGTCACACAATACGTTCTTTGGGATCGCCATGGTGCCTACAACGCGAAAGTGGCCTTCATCGCCATCCGAACCATCCAACCCGGTAATTTTTAACGTTTTTAGACGGGATATCACATTTCATTTGTTAACAAAGTAATTAATACCGAAGGCATTTCAGGTGAGGAGCTCACTTGTGACTTCCAACCAAATGTCCTCGAGCCGTTGGGCGAAACGGATGCTTTATGCGATGTCGTGAGTTTGATTTCGTCTCTTCCTTGAACATTTGTCAGATGTGGTGCCGCCCGCTGCAAGAAATTTTTGGCTGGAACTGCACGGGAGGATTAGCGTGAAAGGACATATCCTTCTGCTCTACCTTGGCTTGTCTTTTCCGGTTGCGTCCTAGGCGTCAAATTTGTGTGATGTTTCTACATATTCTGTGAATTTTATGTTGCTTTGCCCTGCATAATGCCACCTGGTCGGAATCTCAATAAATCAACGATGTTACTTGAAGCCGTTTTACTGCGCTTCGAATCTGCGAACGCGGGGTAATCCAGGAGGTCACAGGGTCTGAATTTATGTTCGGGAAAATACAAAACATGTTGAGTCCCATAAAAAAAACATTGCTCTGTCTGGCGCCGCAGAATGACGCTGACCCGGGTCTCGGGGAGGGGGCACGAGCCTATTTATGTTTGAGAATGTTGACCTGAAACACGGCGCTATCAGTTTTCTTGAATTCGCCGAGCCCTCGGCTACTGCCTCTATATACACACCGATCTCCGTTACTGTACTAGTTCCAAATGCAACGAATACAGCGCGACTTTCTGTATTTCATCCTTTTTCTGGCGCCTTATTCGATGGTGAGTATATATAGTTTATTTCTGTTTGTTCAATGCCGCGTTCCTAGTGGTGCCAACAAGTGCAGCACGATCAATCTCCCTTGTGTAGCATTTGTCGGCATTGGGTAGAGGAATTATCCGGGATATCTGGTAACTACAACGAGACCGAATTTTGTCGTTTGATGGATGACGCGTGTGAGCGGCTATTTTCACCGATAAATCAAACGGAGCTTTGTCACGGTTTGCAGAGGAATTGCTCGGCGATTCTGGTATGTTTAATGACGTTGAATGAGGAAGGAGCGCGATTTAGGGATTGATAGAGGAGAACGTACGATCAGAAGAAATCTGCGAGCTCTACCAGCTTTGTGAGCCGCCAGCAGATCCTACACCGGCACCGGATGATGGTAAGGTTTAATAAAGTGTTTAAGCCTCAAAGCCGGTCATTTTTTTTTCAACATAAAATGTCTGTTTTCATTTCCAGCCAGCAATGCGCAACGATCCGGCACTCTGGCTTCTTAGGAAAGCATACATACAACTATGGACTATCTATTTTCCTCTTCCTTTAGCAATAAAATTTCAAATATATCTCACTTGACATGACAATACTTTAACCCGTTTCTCTATTTGTCATATGAGCTTGTGGTACACTTCGCTTTTTTGACTTTTTAGATGATAGTGATTACATCAGCCCTGTTCCATAATGACAAAGAAGGTTACGGACTGTTAGCGGCGGCAACCAAATTTTTCCTGCGATTCTCTACCCCCTATAATAATATAGGCGCCATTCTTATAGCATTTGCCATAGTTTTTAAATATAAATAAACATAACAAATCTCGAATTTTCGAAATTTTTATAAATATTTTTGGAACTTTCCTAGCAATCAAAACTACTGAAACAGCATAAAAATTCATACTAGATGATCAACAGGTAAGTATCGGTAGAGGAACAGAAAATTGTTCCCCCTAAGCAAATCCCCCGCTAACAGTCCAGACCCGCAAAAAAAAATTTAGTCTACTTTGCCACAATAATTTATTGCTCTGTGAGGGCTAGAGACGGGATTTCGAGAGTTGCTAACTGACTAATTGGTCCTTACGAAAAGGGGTGCCGGCGCCTTAGGGCCAATTGAAGGACAGAGCCAAGCCATACGACATTCGGACGCTTTATTGATGCATAAGAAAGTACACAACGGCATTCTTCGACTTCTTGCTCTTTGCTTTATAAGATGTATTAATGGGCTCGTCGAGATGCCGCTTGAAATCGGTGGGGTGCATGCGATGAAACCGTCCGGACTTTATTGTTTTTCAAACTACATAAATCGCCGGCTTCCAAGGCTTGATTGCGTTCATTTAGCAAATATTTTAGCCAGTTCCGTTAGACTATCAGAGCGGCCAGCAAACGCTGGATGACACGAATCTATGCTCGTATGACAGCCACAGCTCGCGGCAATCCCTACAGACATGTCAGTTTAGTGCATTACCATGCATTTATCATTTTAGTATGTGCTTGTATCGGGGGCGGTAGTCGAGCGCTACTATTGCTATCCGACAATCGGCTTCTTACAGCCGTTTTGTCAGCATTCGCTCGTTCTCGCGCCATCCCTGCGTTCAGGTGAGATTTGTGAGTATCCTTGCCTAGTTATAACGTTGTCCTGAGAATTTTCTCCAAACGGATTTTCGTTCCGCGAAAAAGCCTGAATGATGAGGTCCCCTTCATAGCATTTCTTCAATCGGCTCGTCATGGCCTAAACGACGACTGTTGAATCGGCGGTGGGCAGTCTTTCTCGGCAATTCTGCGCAAAATTTACCGGGCGCCATTTCCTCGATGGTTAGGCTTCGCGACAATTGACTCCACACTTTTTCTCTTGTAGGCCCACCACGAACGGTGGCGCAGGATCGTTGTCTTCTACTCTGACGTCGCAGGTTGGCGCTTTTCGACGCTTTGAATTTTAAAACGCCGAAATTCAACCGAATTTTAAAAAGAGAAATTGTTCAATGACGCTTTGAATTCGACGTAATTAACGACAGTCTTAAAATGAAACTTTAGATCTGCAGGCAGTTCTCAGCTTTAGTTCCGATGGCCACATTTATCCGTTTTACACGACAATGTGAGTGGTGGCCAGAAATCGAGAACGTTTTAGTTTCTATCAATTTGATGAGCGCTCCCATCGCAGCCCACCTCACCTATTTGGCAGCACCAAATTTGTCTTTTGGTTACCAATCCACGTAACGGAATGATGCTGTCTATAAGCTTGTTGTATACGTGCCCGAAAAAAGGAAGGTGTTCAGCGCCGTCTCATCGCTCCATCTTCGGTTCTCGCCTTTCTGGGCCCGTTGGCTGGCCCGGTATGGCTGCTGCTTCTCTTGTCTTACTTGGCGACAGCGCTTACACTGTGGATGTTGGCCAGGTATAACGATAGGTTCACCCTAGCATATACTAATCCCAGAATCTCGCCAATTGAACGATCGTCTCAACGGCGATCCGTCAGTTTCGGTGATGCTCTGTGGTTCCTATACTGTTCTTTGATGCAGCAGGTATGTCCTAGCCATGAAAAACGACTTGTTTAGTCCTCGATGGTCCCCCGCGGCATGTCAACTCGTCTGCTGTCATTGGTTTGGTGGTTATTCGCCTTGATGCTAGTTTCATCCTATACCGCCAATCTGGCCGCAACTGCGACGGCAAAGTTGGTTTTGCCCTTCACAAGCCTTACAATTAGTCAAATTCGTTAAAAAAGGTACAAAAAGTTAGTTTTCGTTCATTCTTTTACCATTCTTCAAATACTTTCGACTGAAGAAGAAAGTCTTACGAATGTTTTTATGACGCATTAATATTAATAATTAACAACGGTATATAATTCTATCGAAAGCGTAGATATTTCATGATTCGGTTCTTTCGAATTATCGGGGGGAGGACCGAAATCTTTGGTGAAATTTTGCATCAAGTTCATGTGTTTTTAGTAAACTAAAACATGTCATCATCATGTTAATCGTGGTTTTAGTAAAACAAGACTATATTTCAGGCAAAAAACCTGGCGAAAACTTAAAAAAAATGTTCGAAAATTGGAACCTTTCATCAAAAACGGCGCCTTTTGGTCGAAAAAATCGATATTTTCGTATTTACCACTACAAATTTGTATAGCTTTTACCTCTAAGAATAGTAAAAATGAGTTAGAAAAACTTCCAACCTATTTTTTTATCAGGCGCATGGAGACCCCAATCGAAGGCGCCGAAGATTTGTCGAAGCAGTCTCGCATACGTTACGGTACATTGAAGAAAGGGTCGACGATGACTTTCTTTAACGTGAGCTGCTTTTCCTAAGGCGCATCGAGATTCAGTAAAATATGTAGAATTGACACCAGGGTTTTTAGGAATCAAAGATAGAGACCTACGAGCGCATGTGGAAATCGATGAGTGAAGAAGGCGGTCGAAGACTGGTAGAATCCGAGTAAAGAGGGCATTTCAAGGGTACAGCACGAAGAGTATGCATATTTAATGGAATCTTCGATGCTTGAGTATGCCGTGGAAAGACATTGCGATCTGGCGCAGGTAGCGGCTGCCATCTTTCTTAGTATTAGATAAATCGACTCAAAAATACCAAGGTAATTCGAACAATTTTAGGTGGGAGGTCTGATCGACCAGAAAGGGTACGGTATCGGACTACCGAAAGGGTCCCCCTATCGAGCACAGATATCACGCGCCATCCTCCGATTACAGGAAAAGACCATCCTCACCGAGCTGAAAAACAAATGGTGATGAATTTCTGGAACAGGTTGCTTAACGGGGGTGGAAATTGGTTTTGTATGTACTTCCCCGTTGCCACTTTGGAAGCATGCCAGCGGACAGCGCATGGAAAATGATACTAGGGCCGGAACTACCTCAATTTAAGGTTATTACTTTCTTATACCAAAAATGCTGCTATATATAAAAAAGTGGCGTATGTGTGTGTGCATTTGCATGCAACTTCCGTCTGTATGTTCCAGTCGTATCTCAATCGAGGAGGTACATAAAGGGATGTTTGATATGTCATTGGGTGCGTAATGGACTTGCGATGACTGCACACACATCGTATTTTGGGAAAGCGCTATTTTCCATATTAAATTCAAGTTTTTCTTAAAACCTCGGCGGTTCGCCTTGTTAGGAAAAATTAGCATACGCCGGAAGTGGCGGTAGTAACCACTGCGCCGAGGTTCGCCGGCCAGCTCGCCAACCCCTTAAGTTCGCCGGCCACCTAGCCGGCCGAAACAGAGTATATATGCGGCAGAAGAAGCGTTTTTCATTCGTTGCCATGGGTATTCGGCGGAGTATTATGCAGAGTAAACGCTATTGTGGGCCCAGATGGAACCAGGGTTGCAAAGCCGCGAAGCGACTCTTCAACCCTGGTGTTCCTGCAAGCAAAGAGTCTTTTAAAAGGGCTTTTGGTTTTCGCAAAGAGAAGATTCTCGTGGCAACAAAAAAGAGCTAAATTCCTTTCAAACTCTTAAAAATGCCACAAAATGCGGGAACAACAAAAAACTGCTGGCTATTTAAAATCTTAATAAACTCGGTACCATCCCAGATCACAGGTCAGGTCCACAGATTAATTTCAAGAAAGTGCAAATAGATCATAATACAGAAATTATTTGCAAGCCGAAACCGCTAGAAACTGGATCTGTCCATTTTAATAAGGTGCCAGCAACTTTTGGTTGATCCCACATTTTGTGGCATTTTTAAGAGTTTGAAAGGAATTTAGCTCTTTTTGTTGCCACGAGAATTCTTCTCTTTTTGCGAAAACCAAAAGCCCTTTTTTAAAAGACTCTTTTTAGCCTTAGAGAGAATTTAGCCCTTTTTGCCTCAATCTTATTGTTAAGATCGTAAAATAAGCCAAGGAATACTCATTCAGATGAACCCTTGTACGCAAAACTTCAAAAAAATTTGCCTGCGGCGCTTTGTAACGGCACTAGAAACCATAAGGTTGCACGGGGGCCAATCGGCAAAAACCATGTTTTGGGTGGGGTTGGAACTCGGAGCCAAGTCTTCCCATTACAGCGTGCTAACCACTAGGCCAACGGGGAGACTGGGGGCCTGTCTTGGGGAAGCTAGACCCGCCCGGCCTGGCTCGGCACTGGGCCGGGGAAGGGGAGGGTGGCGCCCCGTATGGCGAAGGTTTAAAGTTATAATATCTCAGAGAAGAAGCATTCTTTCGATGCAATTTCTTGTTTACTTTTTCCGGCAAGGTCTAATGCCTATTTGAGCAAAATTTCAGCCCAAACGGACAACACTATCCCTTGTTTTGGCCGCAATTTAGCTTTTAAACTTAAAAATTAAATATAAATTTTTTAAAAGCCTATTTTGAAAAAAAACTCTTCTTGCGGTCGGAGATTATCATTAACCCAATAACTGTAAAAAATTTCAGCCCAAACGGATGATGGGAAGGCACTTTTTGACGACTACAAAGGTTTTGTGGCATACATACATACAAACGCAGACCCCCCCCCTCGAAACGCAATTTAAATCGGCCGTTAAAATTCGAAAGTTCACTTTTTTTCAAATTTTAAAAGCTTATAGTATGCAAAAAGTGTCGCCGGTTCCGATGATGTATTCAGTTTCGCGAACCGATGCATGGTTCTTTTTTAAATCCGGAAAAGGACCCCAAAAGAGTCGTATGGGGGGGTACCTCAAACCAAAAGGGGTTAGCGGGCTACGCCCGCTAACCCCGATTAATTAACGTTGATTTAACAATGCTGGCAAATTAAGTTATCGTGCGCAGGTTAAATCTTTACCTATATCGGATATCTTTATGAAAGAACTTTGGAGATTTGGAGATGGAAAGACCTAAGCCTAGGCCAAAGCAATATAACCTTTGAATATACAAAATCAGTTTCCACCCATATGCAATCTTTACCGAATTGTCAGTGAAACTCTATAGGTGACTCGTTTAGGTGGAAAGACAAATCGCATTCCTGTGGAGCACCAATGATGGGCGTCGATGAAGATGGAGGACCGGTAGCCGGATTGGCCCTATGCTTGGTAGGGAAATGGATCGAAGATAAGGTGAAGCAGAAGCTTTTAGCTCGGCGGTCTCGTCTCCTCCACAGTATTTGCCATCACCCAATTCATCGCTTCGATCTGGCCGCGCGATGAGACACCGATCCAATCAGCCCCCACATTGTCCGCTTTACTGTCAGTTGCCGTCCTCGGCATCAAAGCACCCGGGGAGGTGCGTCGCAAATTTGGACGACTTGATGGTGTCGTCGAGGCGGCCGACCTGGAAGTCACCAATTCTGTATTGGTATTTTTCTCAATAACGCCCCAATTACAAGCTTAGGGCCGACAGCGGACAAAACGCGCCGAGTCCCTGCCGACTAGAAAAGACCGCGTCCGGAAACGGACTCTCACACCGGCAGACATGAAGGCACTTGGCTTTTAACAACTCATTTATCTGGAAAATGCGTAATACGCAACAATAAATTCTGAATTAAGATCAAAATGGAAAAATAACAACGATGCGGGAAGCAAGAAGGGTTAATAGCGGCATGGCTAATCAAGTGTCATGTTCTCTTCATCTGCCATTTCGCGGGATAGGGCCAGAAGTTCCCGGACTGCCTAAAAGCTGTTTAATGGCTTTAACCGAAAGACCAACCGCACTATTATTGACGTCGTATTGTTCATTTGGCTTGACCAACCGGATGCTCGTTCGGGCCAATTTCGACCGTGCTACTTTGCTCCCAGAATTCGGAGTCCCATTTGATTGCCGCCTCGGAATCGGTTTCTGAAATAAAATACCCGCAAGCTTTCAGAATCTACCGCGCGCAACTTGAGATATCACATCAAAATCGTCCCATACGTCGATAGGCTCGGCTGCGGAGGCCGGATTGATCCAAAATCCGCCTGGCAGGCGATGGATTGTCGTGGTGCCGTGAATGCCGACCTAAAGAACGAACGTAAGAAAATGAAAATTTCCTTACACTGCGGCCGACGATTGGTGTCTGGTCTATAGGGGTGAAAGAGACGCTGTTTTCCGGCACGAAGAAATCGTCGAGCGGAGAATCGAAGGCTTCCTGGAACAACAGAAAGGGTTAGATTGCTCTGACAGATAACTGGAAACGGAGAAAACACCTTACATCCTGTATTTCGTGCGGCCGAACGGAATGATCCTCAAAAGATGCAGAGCTACTGGCAACAGCAGATCCTAGACTTGTTGACTCAATTCAGTAGCGCGCTTGCCAGGAGTGAGCAACGATTTCCTCTAAAGAAAATGATTCGGGTTAGTGAAATAACCGGATGAGTATTGCGCGGCACGATAACGGGAAATTGCCGATCGAATGTCGATTTCTTTCTAAAGTGAATTTCGTTATTAATAGAGTCGTCACTTTAGAGTGAATGGGGTCGTCTTCTGAAGACGCGTCGCACGGCTTCTGGAAACGAAGGAATTTATCGAAAACGATTCGAGCGACGCCCGAATGCGGCCCCGTAAGTAAGAAGCTTACCCGCTATATTGCCGGGGGCAGATAGATCCGTTCGCGGGAAAACGATTCTCGGTTGGGACTGCTATAGAAAAAAAATTGATACTAAAGAAAAAGGTACCATGAGTTGAGTAACGGCGGAGACGTTGCCCTCAAGTAACACACGCCTCGTTTGCACAGCAGGTTCCTAGAAAGGCCTCCATGAAGGAAATTAACAAATTGTTACCCCATGTTGTGTTCTGTAGTGGCTGATTAGTTTCTGCCATCCGTTAAACTCCATGTAACCGCAGCTGGAGCTGGAAGGACTGTCAAAATTGGCAAGTAGCGGATGTTCCATTGCACCAAAAAATTGACAGACGCGAATTTCAAGTTTTCAGTACATAACGCTGCTCCTATTTGCCTCAGTATTGCAAGAAAAGTCGCTAGAAAATATTGATAAACTCACTCGCGACACACAAAACGTCTCGTGCTCGCCGTGTAGCAAAGGTCACCTAAATTCGGGCTATTATCAAGAAAGCGAGTTACCAAAGCGCAAGCAGATTGCGTGGTGCTTCAAGTGATGACGTTCAATGGCCTCCTTCGAAGTGAAGCCTTCCTAAAAAAACGGGCACTATACTGGTTGGGGGGGCACTTTGGTTTTCGACTTTTTGAGTCTTTCTAGGCTAGTTTTTTGTGCTGTTTCCAACTAGAGCAAAATCAGAGTAGTAAAACATCATTATCTAAACGTTTGTTAAGCGTTAGAGATGCAGACATTCGGTGTTGACCTAAAAATAAGGCTTCGTGCCACCGGGGGCCTAGTCGCTTCGGATGGGTGCGAGCTCGGAGAGGTTTCCGAAATCGGGGCGCCTGAGGAGCGCGAAGCGCCTAGGCGCCCCGATTTCGAAGAGTGAGCGGCAGCCCATCCGAAGCGACGGCCCACTTTGCCTGAGAATGCGGCAAGCCTCAAATTGTGCATAAGTACAACTTTTTATTAATAAATTTTTACGCAGTTTTTCTGGATAAACCCAACCGTTTTGGGATGCTGTTGCGACTCTAATCCCACTCAGCGTAAAAAAACTACCCCAGAAAGACTCGAAAAAGCGATAAAAAAGCATCTCCTAATAGGTACCCAAAGTCCCCCCCAACCAGAGAAAGCTGCCGAACCTCGCAATGGACGCAAAGCATCCTCCTGGCCGCGATGTCCGGGAGCGGGTCCCGGTTCCTCATAGTTGTGATGGGCGAAATGCGCTTCAATTTATTTTTCTAAAAACAAGTTATAATCGGACCATAGGGCCCACATTGGTTCCAAGTTTACAATGATCCACGTGGCTTCGATACGTATAGCTGTTGGGGAAACTCTGGTTGCAATTCTTACAGGATATAGAGACCACTAAATTAAAGTTTTAGAAAAGACAACGACAAATACCCGTCCCATGGTCTTCCTCGATTGCTGCTGCATTCCATCTAGGCTTTCGAATAGTCGTGACAGCGCGTGCACCCAAACGAATGTTTTCAAATGTCTAAAATCTAACTTCATCTTCAGTGGCCTGGAAAGGGCGCCAAACACATCATCATTGGCGTGTGCAACTGGCGGTGAAGCACGATGAATCTCGAGTGCCTTCCTACGTGCCCGTAGCCTTTTGCAAAACATTTGACAACACATTTCCTGCGGAAGTTAGCAAGAACATGCAGGAACCTCATAATAATTGAATAACGAGACGTACCGCTTCATGTCCTTGAGCTCGAGGCGGGCTGAGCAATGTGGGTGTACCAGAAAATCCACTAACAAGCCATTGAAAGAAACATTTCACCAACTCAAACGAAGAGTTAACGGCTGACATCGCGTTTCCCGAGCTGATTTGACCTAAGAACAGCGCCTGAGATGTAGCCTCGGTCCGATAGAAATCGTATGGCACTGCATAACCCGTGAGAAGCGGAGATCGGATCGTTCGAACATTTAATTAACGTCATAGAGGGCCGGACAATCAGCAGGTAATGTAGTAACGACTGTTCATCGCAGAATAATTATTAGATGATCCAAGTATTCTTCACTTCGCTGTGAGTTAGCTAAAAATTTACAAGCTAACTTGTAAATTTCTAAAAATGTCCATAACCTGCTGCAGCTTTTGATTGCCTTCTTCGGGTGCACGACGCTGACCACCCAGTACTTTATTAGAGTTGAAGCCCGCAATGCCGGCCTGCCATTGCCGCAGTTCACTGTCATTCATGCTATGCGTCTTGTTGATCGGCATCACGAGGGAAGCCATATGAACCTGAGAGGCGTGCAAAGTAGAGAGGGTCAAAGCGAAGCACTAACCTGTCCGTTGGGCTTCACGCAATTAGATGGTCGGTGATCCGATTGATTGATTTCAGCTCGGGGAAGGCAGGATAAAAGGGCGAAGCCGTTCTCATCGAAGGAAACTCAAAGTCGTCTTGTGCCTGAAAATATAGTACGGTGGAAAACGTCACTTCCGATTACCCCATCTCTAGAAGCTACCACACGCTCTTTCATCCAATCTATGAGCTTCTTCAATCGCCAATACATTTATGGAGGATCTTGGTGTCGTAACATGCCCGACTTTCCACTGCAGTTTCCATATTGTTGTACAGGCCAATATAAAAACTGATTGAAGTGGATAAATCGAACTAGGCAGCAAATTCCCCGGAGCACATGCAAGTATCCATGTCGAAAAAGCAGCTGTCTCCATCAAACAGCTTCTTTCCAAAACCGGGTACTTTTCCGTATCTGGGAGCAGAGCGATCCTAAAAATCTACTTGTCTGTTACAAACACAGCAGCTGACCATTCGATGATGCAGGATCGGACTGATTGATGGTGGAGATGACGAATGAATTGAGACATCCGGAACGATAGAACGAGATGAAAGTAGAGCAGTAATAGCCACGACACTAGATTTAAACAGCTAATAATTCGCAATAAAAGTGCCTACGATTCGGTTGCAAGCTGAAATAGACGCTTATTGCCAGAACGTTTGCCACGGCAAATTCAGACAAGACGTTCAAGAAGAATATCTAAAGCATTAGAACGGGCAAGGATATAAAAATACCGAGATCGAGCCATTTCGGAACCTCCCCATGTCGCATAAAAGGAACATCGTGCTGACGAGAAGAGAGAAAATCTGAACCAAAAGTATCTTGATACCAAAAGAGGAACCTGTAAGAAGGCATAGTGGTAGACGACTTTTTTAGGCATTCTGCTGTTTTACATCGACGTTTTTCGCAGGGGTCCTCGCAACGCCGCCACTCCCGGCTACGCTTCTAGAAAAAACCTATATATGCAACAGCGCCCAAAACCCCTTTGCGGGCCTTGGGCACTGAATTTGACCTTCGCATGAGAGATTTGACTTTCCGATAGTTCGATACCTCCGAGACACGGCCAATCAAACAGGCCAAAAACGGCACTGTGCCGGGAGGGGCAAAAGCGTCGATAGGAGCGGAACGTAGCGGGCGCCAAGAAGTTTAAGCGCTTATAACTTTGTCAAACCGACTTAATAATGAAAACCCAATATCAATTATTGCAGAGTAGAATTTTACGGTTCGAATGATACCAAATGCCGCCGGTTAGCCCTCCGAAATACCACTTTTCACAAAACCGCCAACCAAAACCGCCTTCGTTAGCATACTTTCTAAATTCAGTTTTGTTAGTGCTTAGTATCATTAGAATCGCCATGTTCCCTTCTACAAGACTGGAATTCGCGTTTTTTAAGATCGGCCTTATCTTTCAAGATATAAGCCTTCAAAGTTTTAGCCTCATACATTTTTGAGTCGATAGGAGCGCCGCGTTGCCTAGCCCTTAGACCGCCGCGATTTCGGGAGTG